CAATATCACACAGACGTCTTTATTTAAATATTAAAAACAAATCCCTTAAAATAAAGATCGACTGATCACTGCTATCTTCCGATGCCCTCTGGTGGATGACCTGCACGCATGCATCTAGGTGAAGATGAGAATTCACGACGGAACTAATTAAAATCAGCAGAAGCTCCAGGTCTAAATATTTTACTTTTACAGCTGAATGTCTTGTAGGAACATTGTGAAGCTCGTACTTGTAAAAAGTTTCATTGTGGCAACATCACTGAAGTTTAAACATTAATGAAACACGCTGCGGTGAGTAAAGTGCCAGGCTTTATCTTTCCTGCTCATCTTCATCATCATCACTTTATCAAGACTTCACATATTATTTAAAGCTCATTTTATCTTTATTTTGTTAAAGTAATTTGTTGTAAATCATTTTTTGTGGAATAAACAGGGACAGGAAATTGATTTTTATCTTTCCAACATGACACAGGTTTTAAAAACAGCAGAATAAAAACTTGTCCTCGTAGACTGTAAATAAAGATGGACGACATGTCTCTGTACCTCTCTGGCGTCCATCAGGTGGTCTGGCAGCAGCGACCTCTTGCTGGAGTAGAGCGACGAGCCCTTGTGGACCTGCGACCAGCCGAATAAGGTTGGGTTTTGGCTGGGGCGGCGCGCGGACATCGGTGAGCTGCCGCTGCCCTGAGACGCCATCGAGTAGCTCCGGGACTTGGGAGGGGGGTTACTCTGCAGAAGGAGGACACGACGTTTATCAAACGTGAATTACAGGATGTCACAGGTGAACATTTCTATCATGGCAGCAACAGTCATAGAATCACTTCCTCTATGGCAACAAGTCTACAAAGTAAGAGCACAACATTCTATTAATCTGAGGACTTTGGTCTGATGATTGAATCACCTGCTAAACAAACCTCTGATAGGCAATGTGTGCAATGTGCGCCATGAACAAATAACACCAGTTAAGTAAACCATTCCAACTTATGTACGATGAACGTAGAACATGCTTTAAAGACCTGATCTGCAACTTTCAAAGGTTGAAAACGAGTCCAGAAAATGTAATCGATACAGTCACACTGCAAACACAACTTTAAAAAATGATAATAAAGAATAAATAAAGTGTCATCTATTTGTTGACTATGTTAAGCCGCTGCTACTGTAACCCTTCAGGGAGTTCTCATGTGTCTCCACAACATTAAATGAGGTTGTGGGCAGCGTAGTCGTGTGTGGATCAATATTTAGATCAATACGAGTAAAACTTGATCCTTTTTCCACAGAAACATCAATGTTTAGCCACAGAGGAGTTGATTTTCAGCAGGATTGTAATGATAGAGAGATCCCACTAAATTATGCAGGAATATTTAATCACTTTATTTTACATTGTGAGAAAAGATTCCCAGAGAATAATTCACGGATGAAAACAAACCAGGCAGATTAAGGGGAATAACATCTACGTGTTTTCATTTTGTTGAGGCTTGACTTTATTTAAACTGTTGGGCCTCTGTGGAGGAATCCGCTCTACGAAGTGATATTCATGTGGCACAAATATTTACACTGCTGCCGTCTCTGTGCGAATGCTCCTTTGACATGTGGAAACCAGGAAAAGAAAAACTGTCCAGCTCACACCCGCTCCGCGCAGGAGTCAGGAGAATTATTTGGATCAGTCTAAAACACTGTGTGATCGTCTCACCTTCCCCATGGCCTCTGTGTGGTGCTGTGTGCAGATCTGCAGCCTGCTCACCCAGTGCTGCCGCTCTTTGGCATCAGTGGCTGAGAAACACACAGGAGAGCACAACCTTGTTCATTACTCTGAACCTGATCCCACTCTGCATCAGATCCCGCTTCACCCGATAATGGAAAACACAAAGATCAATACTGTGAAAAGCTGATGGACGGTGATGACTGCACCCGGAGTTCAAACTGTAACTGACGCAGGGAGGGGAAGCTTTAAGATGAGCACACCACCCTCTTAAGTGATTGATAATTACATCAGGAAGTCAGGCACCCACCCCTGAGCTTGTACTGCTCCCCGCTGATGGCGTTGACAGTGAAGGTGTGCGAGTCCTCGTCACTGGGGGAGATGACGGCCCCGGCCAGGGGGAGCATGCCGCGGGGCTTCTGGGGCCGCGACTGCTCGTTGACAAAGTACTCCAACAAGCCCGCCTCATTGTTTAACACAAAGAACCTGGAGACAACAGACAGCACGACAATGTCACAACCACAGGGATGCACCTGAAGAGGATTCTTCTGGATGATGAATCCTGATTGAACTGTCCCCCGTCTCTTACTCTTGCAGGTTTGTTTACAGCTCACCTGTACTGCCACCCTGTCACCAGGTTGGTGTATTTCATCAAGTAGCCGTCAACATTCTCCATGTGGTCGCTGCCAGGGCACAAAGAGCACTTTAGAAGCACACAAATCAATCATGGCCGAGTCTGCTGACAGATTAGCTGAGAGATGCTTCTGTTTACTGGCAGATTAGAAGCACAGCGACATTATAATAACACGACGATCATGTTAAAGCTATGAGGTGACACGTCAGTGGCTGGACAGCGTTAATGAAAACACAAAAACGTGTCGATATATCACATAAATGCTGCTCGTGAGTCACTGTAGCCGTTAGCATGCTAAACCTCCACCCACCTGTACTGCCAGCTTTTGGCACTGGCTCTCCCCGAGCTCGGGGTCTTGTTCTGGGGGACGACATCCAGCTTCCCAGCCTCGCTCTCCGGGACTCTTATCGCCGTGGTCTCCGCTTGCATGGTCGCTGGCAACGAACCCAACTCTCCGGCTGACTCAGGCTCGCCAGTGTATGGGTTTGAGCTATGCTAAGCTAGGCTAGGCTAAGCTAAGTCTCCACAGATTCGAAGCAGCTGTTCGGAGACTTCAGCGGAAGTGTGGATTCATCTCAGGTGGAAAGGAACTCGGCCGCGTTGACTGTCTACGTGAATAAAGGCAAATAAAACATGGTTTAAAACGGAAACTAGCTCGTTAGCATGTGTGCTAACTCCTCTGATATTTACTGCTCTGGCAGCAGCACAAGTCACGTGACCCGCTCAAGCGCTGACACTTCCGCATTCGAAAAATCACAACAACTGAAAAATAAAATAAAATAAACAAAGAGGCTAAACTTCGTGTTTGGTTATTTTAAAATGATTTTTTACTTGTTTAATACGTGTTTTATTT